TTCCCAGTTTAGAAAGTTCATTAGGTTTCATCCTAGAGAGGGCTCAAGAGTGAGATTCTGGTCCGATTTATGGTTAGGAAACTCCCCTCTGCGAGAGGTCTTCCCTACCCTCTACTCTCTTGGTCAGAACAAAGAATCTTCCCTTGCCGAGGAAATGGTCTTGATAGGGGGATGTAGAGTTTGGAACCCTTACTTTCGAAGGAATCTAATGGAAGAGGAAACAAACCACTTTCAGTCACTCTCGACCTTCCTCGCTCCCTCTTCATTTCGCCTCAAGGAAGTGATGCCATCATCTGGACTCTAGCTCCCTCTAGGACCTTTTCGGTAGCTTCTTTCTATAAAAGCTTAATTCTGGCCCCAACTTTCCCGGCGAATCCTACCGCAATCCAATCCAAAGTTTGGGCCACCATTGCCCCACCTAAAGTCCAAACTTTCAACTGGCTTGCTTGCTCTCATAGAGCTCTCACAGCGGACCAATTACAAAAGAGAGGGATCCCCCCAATAAGTGTGCCTTATGCTTATGTGAGGAGGAATCGAACAAACACTTGTTCATCCTCTGTGACTATACTTTTGACCTCTGGGGCGTTCATCCTCTGTGACTATACTTTTGACCTTTGGGGCCAAGTGTTGCAACTGTTTGGCATCAAATGGGTCACCCCCCCTTCAGTCAAGGCTTTGTTCTCATACGATCTCGACTCATGTTGGCCGAAGGCAGGAAGGTTGTTATGGAAGGCAACAGTTGCTGCAACCATGTGGTCAATTTGGTTGGAAAGAAATTCCAGAAGATTTCAAGGCATTAAACTTCACACACCAGCTCTTCTTTCTCTTTGGTTACCTTTTGGGCCTCCAACCACAAGGATTTTTTTGGAATTCTTGGAAGTTTTTTCCTCACCCAATGGAAAAATGTTCTTCATCACCAACTGAGTATGACCAACTGAGTATGGTAACAAGATCTTGTAACTGGCAACCACCACCTCAAGGTTACATCAAACTAAATTTCAATGGGTGCTCCCTAGGGAACCCTGGCCCGGAAGCGGCTAGGGGGGCCTTTAGTGACCACCAAAGCAACATCGTCCTGACCTTTTCAGAGTACATTGGCATCAAGGATTCCCACCATGTTGAAGCCATGGCCCTTTTAATTGGCTTAAAATCTTTCAACCCTTCTTGGGGCCTACACCTCATAGTGGAAGGAGACTTGAAAAATGTTATCTTCTGGGCAAGGAGAACGAGTTCACCACCGTGGGACCTCACCTCTATTTTGACGAAATTGTTTATACCTGCAGGGCTATGGACGTCTCCTGGAGGCATACATGGAGGACGTCCAATGACATCGCAGATCACTTGGCGAAAGAGGGTGCTAGAAGTCAAGGCCAGGGACAAGTGCAACCGGGGTCCGACTCCTTTTTTGCTTAGGACCAGGGGCACACGACTTAAAATGGCTCTTTTTTTGTTCTTGTATCGTTGTATTTTTGCATCAGCTTCATGTAAATCTATGTAACTGGGTGGTCCTATAAGCCCATTTTTGTACATGTTAGGCTGGCACATTTTTTACTGAGTCACCCTTTGAAGAGTGATATCGGTCTCTCAATTACATGTAATCTCTCCTATGTATTACTCTTCCAGCAATACAATGTTAAATTTCATCAAAAAAACAACATGGTAAGCAGTCTGTTGACAATAGAAGAATTCTTACAGAAATCTAGAGTTAAACACTAAATTTTCAATTATCTAAAATCCTTAATAATAGACAGAAATATTACAATTATATTAAATGTGGAAATACCAGTTTTTAAATAATTATTTTTACAGGAAAATAAGGTCACTTATTCTTGAAATGTATACCTCAATTTGAGATGGATGTGTTGCTAACGTTGCCAGAGTAAAACCGGGATCAATGGTGTTTAGCTAAAGGTAAGGGAAGAGAGACTATATGAGTTTATATATGGGGGAAAGAGAGCATGAAAAAGAATGCACGTATTACAAGAGAGAGATAAATATTATATGAGAGAAAAGAGAATTATTATTTTAATTTTAATTAGGACATTATGAGAGAGAGAAGAACCATTATGAGATTCTCATGAGAGAGAGAAATATTATATATAAAAAAAGGGAATTATTATAATGAGAACATTACGAGAGAGAAATGTTATAAGAGAGAAAATATTATGAGAGAATTATGACAGAGAGAATTATTATGAAGTTGTTATGAGAGAGAGATGAAGAACCTACATATGGGGAGAGAGAGAGAGACCAACGTGATGGGCTCATGAGGGGAGGAGTATTTAAAAGCGAGGGAGATCAATTATTTATTTGACACTGGTCCAAGTAGGTGTCTTTTCTTTTGTTAATTTCGTACTTGCATATGTGCCAGTAAGAAATTAACAAAAGAAAAGACACATATTTGGACAAGTGTCAAATAAAGAATTGATCTCCCTCACTTTTAAATACTCCTCCCCTCATAGGCTTATCATTAGCCCATCACGTTGGTCTTTCTCTCTCTCGCCATATGTAAGTTCTTCTCTCTCTCTCATAACAACATAATAATTCTCTCTCATAATTCTTTCTCTCTTATAACATTTCTCTCTCTCATAATGTTATCATTATAATAATTCTCTTTTTTATCATATATTATTTTTCTCTCTCATGAGAATCTCATAATAATTCTTCTCTCTCATAATGTCCTCATTAAAATAAAAATTATAATTCTCTTTTCTCTCATATAATATTTCTTTCTCTCTTGTAATCCGTCCATTCTTTTTCATGCTCCCTTTCCCCCATATATAAACTCATTTGGTCTCTCTTCCCTTACCTTTCGTTAAACACCATTGTTCCTGGTCTTACTCTGGCATTGGTAGCAACACATCTATCTCAAAGAGACGTATAAGTTGTAAGAGTAAGTGACCTTATTTTCTTGTAAAAATAGTTATTTAAAAACTTGTATTTTCGTATTTAATAAAATTATAATATTTCCGTCTATTATTAAGGATTTTAGATGGTTGAAAATTTAGTATTTAATTCGGGATTTTCGTAAGAATTCTTCTATTTTCAATAGACTGCTTACCATATTAGATTTCAATTTTTAAGAATGTTTCTCATAACTGATATCTTTATGAAATTAAGCCCAAAGTATTTAACTGGTTATTTATAGAAATATCAGTGAAAGTGATTGTTGTAGATTACTTCATGTGAATTCTTATTAATGATTTCAAGGATATTTTAAATATAGGATATTGTTGTTTCCTAATGTTTAGTGATAAAAAGTTTCAGAGATACTTTAAGTATATAAGTGGACCTATCCGGTATGTCGGAGGGGAATAAGTGGACTCATTTGGTACATCGATGAGATATAAGTGGACCTATCTAATATGCCGGTACGGATTAAGTGGATTCATTCGGTACGCCGGTGAGATATAAGTGGACCTACTCGGTATGCCAGTTGGGATTATGTGGGCTCATCTGGTACGCCGGTAAGATACGAGTGGACCTACCTAGTAGTCTGGTAGGGATTATGTGGACCCATCCAGGACGCTGGTGGGGTATAGCGGTGACCTATTTGGGACGCCGGTAGGGTATTTGTGAAATCTTTTGGATTATGTTAAACTGTGTGTTTCTGTTAAAGAATTTGAACAATTCTCCAGATATGCTCTTCTTCATATTATTTTAATTTGCATTCCTTAGAAAATATCTACATTGTTTTTTAGTTCCAAAAATTTAGAGTCATCACAACTAGTCCTTTAAAAAACTCAAATTTTCCCTTTTGGTCACTCAATTTCTCCACAAAAGGGAATCCTTGACCCCTTAATGAAAGAGGCATCTCAGCATCGCTATTGTCTCTAGCAACCTACTGCCTTATCTTTTACCTAATATCATCATTGCTATTTCTTTTTTAACGAGCTTCCCTTGCTATATCATCTGAGCCACTATGTCCAGTTTGGGTTTTATGGTGTCCTCAAAGCTGAAGAACCATGGGACCTCCTTAGCTAAAAACCACTGCATTGATCTACAGCTATACTCAGGAACTCCAGCCTTGCGTTTGTAACTGTTGATTCCACTCTTTTAACTGTTCCTCGAATTACATAATCTGCAGATCACCTTTGAACTCCCATGCACTTGGGGCCAGCCTTGTAGTAATACCACTTTTCAGTAAGTAGTGCTCATGCAGAGATCATCATCCCACATTCTCACCTCCAAGGAACTTCTCCAATCTGAACATGTTCTTATTGGATGTGGCTTCAGTACATCCCATTCAGACGAGAATCTTAACTTAGAAGCGTCTTTCATCACTGAGGTATCTACTTCACCATCGAGGGATGGAAAAGTGGATGCCAGAATTAGATGTTTTTTTATAAGTAACGGAAACCTTATTTTTCTGATCAAACAAAATAACTGTGGAAGTCATCTCTATAGTTGCAATTGCAAGAAGATGTGGCTCTCAGCTAACCCCTGAACTGCTCTAATTCCAAGAGAGATGGCCATCCTCAAGTTTACTGGATGTAGACCAGGGTACACTCCATGAGAGTTGGCTTCTTTAAATCTTGGACCAATTGTGTCTAAGATTAGTCCCTCATTACTTTTTCCATCCGTTTTGTTCTTTCTGTTTACCCTTCTACATGTGCATTGACTTACGGCTTCTGATGATCCTTTCTCTTTTCTCTCCATGCTTGCTTCAGTGAGAAGCTAATTTTGGTTATTGTAGAATTTACATTAATCTATAGTGTGGACACTGGGGAATATGTAATTTGTGATACGGAAATGCAAATCCTTGAAAATCGAACTCAATAGAGAGAGGGCCGTTATAGGAGTCATATTCTCCTAATTTTCTGTCTGTCAGAAAATTACATTGTTTCGCTTGTGCGTTAAATGTTCATCTCTCAGATATTATCTTCGTCTTGTCACTGGATTCTAATATCAGTGTTTGCTAGTAGTTTTTTAAATTTTTATAAATGACCTTTCGAGAATATTGTCTTATTTCTCTTGGTTGACTGATTATTTTGGTTTAGGTTTACGCTGATTCTTTACTACATGTGCCAATGTGGATTTTACGCCTATAGCATTGCTGCCATCCTCAAATGGGAAACCCGACGAAAAGATTTCCATATAATGATGTCCCATCATGTAATCACTGTTGTCCTAATTTGGATGTCCTTTATTTCAAGGTACTATTCAGCAACTTACACTATGAATATGGGAACAATATGTGTAAGTGATATGTATACGTCTATTTGGAACTCATGATTTTCAGTTCTGTATTTAGTTGGCAACCATACTTCATTTGCAGTTAATGGACAAGGTGTCTCCTATTTAATGATAACCTATGGTTTTCCTTAATCCTTGGTGATTCGTTATTGTGATTGGACGTGTGAAAATACCTGTTGGTTGTTCTTATATAACTGTATTCTGCTTTTCAGTACCTTGATATTTGATAGTAGATTTATTGCTTCTTAGTACACCAACATAGATATTTTTCCAACTCTGCAATGCCTTACATGCTGAAACCAGACTTCTTAAAAATTCCTCACCACTGTTGTTGACTTTTATTGACATGGATTTTCTTTGAGCTATGATACCCATTAGAGCTTGAACTTAGTGTATGAGATGTGAGTTTCCACGTTGTATTGTGTGGAAAAAATGGCCGTTTCATGTTGCTAATTAAGATGTCGTGACTTGTGTTAAGTTGAAGTGCACATTTTATGATATTAGTTGGATGATTTGAGATGCGAAGGATTATAATCAAGTAAGACTGATAGGGAAACCATTAGAGGTGATACTTAATGTCATTTGAAGAATTGTTCATTTATATTCAGTCGTTTAGAAATTATGCGTGTAGTTGAATGGGATATCCTCAGTGAGAGAGAGGGAGGGAGGATGTCTCTTGGCTTTTTTAAGTAGTTTAATGGCAGGATTCGAACTGGGGCATGGTGTTGCAATAGCTAATATTTTAATCAATCGAAGCCCAAGGCCCATGTCCTAGGATGGCCTTGTTTTCAGATCATGGCCTATATACCCATGAATATGCGCACACGTAAGTTTAATATGCCAAAATTTGGATGTCATGGAAGAACACCATGTTGAGTTTATTTTACGTAATAAGAAGTTAGAAAAAGGACATTCTATGTAAAGATCTGTAAGTCCGATGATTGAGAGAGCTACCTCCTTGAAATTTCCAGTGACTTCATATTGGTATGTAAGAAAAATCACAATTTCCACTTGCAGTTGATATGCTCATTTTTGTGATTCTTCTTCAGAGCACGCTGACAACCTCGTCAGGGTGTCAAGAGTCTTTGCTCAAGGTATTACAACTTAAAATTTTCAACAAAATTCCCAAATTACAACCTTAAAACTGAACTTGCTGCAAGAAACAAGTCCCTTTAACTCACAAATACATAACTAAATACACCCATATTGTAACTTACTAGACTATGGATTGGTCCCTCACTAGTTTCACTTAAAACACAACATAGAGATTTGGCTAAATATTATAAATTACATACAAAATAGTGTCTGACATAAAGACTTGAATAATACAAGTTATACGATCATTATATACACAAAATAGGCCAATTCTCAAGTTACATGCAAACACCAAAGTTGCGCCCTTAATTTATAAATCATGGGAAGCTGAGTTCATAAACATCTTATGCCGATTAAGGTCTTAGCAACAACCCTTTTGATTGCTCAATCCATAGTGAGATGCAAGTGGTCTAATCTCAATCCAATCTAAAAGGAAGCATAAATCATGAAGGTTAAACTTACAGCATCTCCAAAATCATCACATGGAACCATGAATAGAGCATACCAAACTAAGATTGAAGAATGAGGTGTGTAGAGCTTAACTTAGGGACTATGGAGCATGAATTTATCAATGGGGAGCATGAGGAAATTTTGGCATAAAGCCCCCTTGTAAAATTAAGCTTTTAGTATGAAAGGGTAAACATTTTTTTGTTGCATAGATGAAAAGTGCAGGAAATTACAGCCTCTAAAACTCAACGAAAACTCATGTAAATTGGGCTCAAATGATACCATGCATAGGTCATAATGCTAACAATGAATTAAGCATGGAAAGGCTACTAAAAACTCAAGGAATGATGCTTGAAATGAGATATTGCCTTGCTGTTAAAGCTCAGAAACAACAAGAAATGTAGGCCTAAAACACCTTGAAAGTCTTTCTTAAACTTCAAGAGGGAAGCTCCATGTATGCATTAAATTCGAGAGATGAAGAGTCAAGGAAAGGGGGCTCCTATCTCTTAACCTCTCACCTCTCTTTCTCTAGCTCTCTCTCTCTTTATCTTAGAAGATTAAGTAAGCCTCACATTGGGGTCTTGTCTATCTCAAAGAGTACATTAGTGTTTAGATGATGAGTGATACTTATAGAGAGTAAGCTAGGGGTTTAAGTTTGCCTTTTATTGGATTAAATCTAGACCACTAATCTTGAGCATCAAAGGCTTGGAGAGAGGTAAGATCGTAGCAATCCAACCTGACATATAACTATCATAGATGTGTGTTTGTGATTCTCCACTCGTGCGAGAACACTCTAAATTCCTCAAATTAACTAATTCTATAAATTTAAAAAAACTATTATCATAGTGACTCTTGCTTTTTAAACAATGTGTTAAGAGAAAACCATATGGAGGGCATGCCCCTCAACTCTCTACAAAATTCCTCTCGAAAATCAAATTTTGAATTTAAGATAAATGTGCTTTTCCTCTCAACACCTCATACCCTTCCATGAAACACACACATAGTATCATATGACAAACTTCATGTCATGCTTTCACACACATATGCAATGAAAGACAAACACCAAATAAAACCCTTTGAGATCTAGGTTTTAATTGGTTAAAAGACCATGATTTAAGGAAAAAATCAACACTTAAAATATCAAGCCTACATACATGTCAATACCTTACATATGTGCCTACAAGCAACAAGTAAATGATGGAAAGCAACAAGTAAATGTTGGGGTTGTGGCCTTTCAAGGCCTTGACATCAAGATTTTCTATGGTTCTTGGTCACAGTGGGAGTAACCTAGAACTAGTGATTCACTAGAACTGTGGTAACTGGGATCCGGAGTTGGTGTCCATAGAATCATAAAACCCCAGATCATGCGGCCTGGTTTTGAGGGGTGTTATACTGATGAGGGTTTGAGTGTTCCCTTGGTTAGGGTCAGTGAGATCGCCTCATGATAGATTTGAGCTAGGGTTTGATATTTCTGATTGTGTGGATGATTGAGATGTGCGTATGCGATTTTGTGTATTCAGCTCAATTTGAGGAGCAGCTCTGAGAGGACATGAGCCAAATCCCTAACAGTAATCCTACTCACAACATGAGCATATCACAGTCATGAAATAGGAAGCCGCACTTGCTCAAGAAGATTCACTGAGGAGAGACATGCACATGTGCAAGAGAGTGTTCCTGCCATCTCGAGTGTATATCCTTGTGGGACCGCCTACAATCTATTGCAGGTCTGGAACCGAGTCATTTATTGGGTTAGCTTTGACGAGCCAAGCATGAGCCTTGCCAAAGACTGTGGGTCATGGGCCTTGTTGGGCTGATCTCAAGAAAGTGATTGGGGGTTCCAGACCTAGCAAAGTAGAGTACCCAAACGGTTGAGAAGAAATCCTTAAGGATCCTAATTTCCCAAAATAAATTTTTTCCATGCCCAATGTTTACTAAAAAATGATGAAAACTACTGAAAATGATTCATGGGATTTTTTCTTTTGAATTTTATTTCGGGAAATAAGTCCCTCCATGCGTCCATTCTAATAATTCCACCTAAGGATGCACCCCATGGGGCCCCAATGAAAAATGGGCCCCACTAGAGAAGGTTGGGGTGGGGGATTCCACATGGCTGCTAATGTCAACCACATGTTAGCACTGTGGCTAACGTGTGGGTGACGTCAACCTCATAGGTTGGACGTCGTCCCCACTTGTATTGATGGCGTGAATGATATTTTGATGTTTGTAGCTCCTCCTCACAGGTATGGTGGCATGTGTGGGATGCTTGATATTTTCAGGGGAAGTTTTTCTCTTAAATCAAGGGCTTTAAAACCAATCAAATACCTAGATCTAAAGATTTTATTTTGGTTGCCATCTCTTGTTGCTTTCATGTGTGAGTTTATGACATGGAATGTGTCATATGATGCAAAGTGTGTCTCATGACACACCACGTGTGAAAGGATGAGGTGTTGAGAGAGAAAACCACTTTATTTCAAATTCAAAATATGGTTTTAGAGAAAGAAGAATTATTTAGGGAATTGAGGAATAATGCTCTCCATATGGTTTTCTCTTCACATATTACTTAACAAACAAGGGCATTTATGAGATTGGTTTTTCTTGATTTTATGGAATTAATTAATTTGATAAATTAGGAGTTGTTTTTACACAAGTGAAGATAATGGTCGAAAAATCCCAACCATACATCTATGATAGCTAAGATGTGGGTTGGATGGCTAAGATCTTGCCTCTCTAAACCCTTGATGCTTAAATTGAATGGTTTAGATTCAATCCAACTAAAGGCAAACTTATAAACGCAAATACTCTCTAAAAATACCTCTCATCTCTTAAACCCTAAGGGAGCGTTTGTTTTTTTTAAAGATTTCTTTCAGAAGAAATCTTTCTAATTTTCCAAAAGTTCTGTGTTTGACACACGAATTCATCTAAAGGTTCAAAAAGTAATCTTCCAACAAAAGTTCTCATTCCTTTATTAAAGCATGAAAGATTAAGTTCCTAAGGGGCGGTAGGAACTTAATCTTTCAGAACGTTTTTGTTGATCACTATTCACTATGCAAAATTTAAATACATAATATAATTATTACTAATATGATATAATATAATATAATATAATATTATATTATGTTATATTTTATTATATATTTATATTATTATATTACTCATAATATAAATGTCTTATATTATATTATAATAAATATTATATTATATGTTACATATAATACAAATATGCATTAATAAAATATATAAAATACATTACATTATATATTATATTATGTTATATATATTATATATTTATATTTATATTGTTAATATATATATATATATGGAAAACACTACGCAACCCCTATAAGCGAAAATGAACAGTGATTTCGCCTATGCTCATCACCGCCCAAAGTTCATCGCACGGTCACAGTTGTCCGGTAGT